CTGTGCATTGTCATGCTAGTGGGGATCCTGAGTCATTGTGGAGAGTCAGTTACACCCACGCCCTGGAATGAAAAAACTGCCATAAGAAAATGATTAGGAGCCTGGGTCTGGATCAGTGGGGATCAGCCCTGCGCTTGGTATTTTCAGCTGTGTGGCCCCAGGCAGTGTACTTCACCTCGTCTGTAAGATGGGGACAGTAGGGCTCCTTCCTCATAGCATTGTTAAGGATTAGATGAAGTTCTGGGTGGCATTCCTTATGAGCTCTAGGTGGATGTTAGCAGTTATTAGTCTTTGACACTGTGACTGACCAGTAAGTGGAACATCCTGTTATTTGGTTACAAATGAGATGTTGCCTTTTAAAACACAGCTTGAGGTTTCCTAGTCAGGGTCTCCCTCTGTAAATACACGCCAAACAATAAGAGAACTGCAGCTGACCCTTGAGCAACATGGTCTGACCACGTTGCTTAGGGATCACATGTACTTTTAACACTTGGAAGTAATAGAGATGGTTACACTTTAAATCAGTTCATAATATAAATTAAATGGACAAAACCAGCCAAGGAGACAAGCAAAGATTCTTAAGAAGAGGCGTGTAGAACGGTTTATTCCTTGAGTCTAATGTTGCTCTGAGCATCACCGTACGTCATGCAGATGCACCCACATCTGCTTTGGTCCTTGTCTTTGCTCGTCAGGGGGCTCTGTGTACTGAAATAGATGACGCATTGTCTGTTTCTGTCTTTCCTCGGTGCTACTTAGATGGCTGATTTATGAAGAACCGGGATTTCTGGGTGTCCCGTTTATCCTGGAGCCCGGGGAATACCCTGACTTGTCCTTCTGGAACACAGAAGTGGCCTACATTGGATCCATGCGGCCTCTGAAAATGGTAAACGCGAAATGTAACAGTGTGCTTGGAGTGGGTGGTTCTTTGCCAGCCTGACACCATTGATTCACAGGATGTGACTTGGAAGCAGTAAAGCAGACTAACAAAATAGAAATAACAGAAAGGATTGTTGTAGACGGCGGGAATGGTACCAGTTGTCTGACCGGTGGGTCAGATCAAAATTGGGTTCAGCAACCTCGGTACTTGAGGAGGGTGAGGCGCTGGTTCCCAAATTGTAAGAGGACATTTACTTGGTAAATCGCAGAGGTAGAAGAAGTAATTCCCAGAAGAATTGGGCTTAGGAAATAAGTTATGGAGGTGAAGGAAGGGCTCTGGAGCTTGGGAGTGAGGAAGCTAATGGTGCTGTGCCTGGGACGGGTGGGAGGGAGAGGAAAGTGGAAAGGGAAGGGAAAGGCACAGGTGTGCTCCTGAAGAAGAGTGCACTAGGTCCTCCACCCCAAGGGTTTTGAAGGTGAAGACTTTAGGGAAGGTCCTAGGGCAGTGGTTCTCAACCTTCTGGCCCTTTAAATACAGTTCCTCATGTTGTGACCCAACCATAAAATTATTTCCGTTGCTACTTCATAACTGTAATGTTGCTACTGTTATGAATCATAATGTAAATATCTGATATGCAGGATGGTCTTAGGCGACCCCTGTGAAAGGGTCGTTCGACCGCCAAAGGGGTCGCGACCCACAGGTTGAGAACCGCTGTCCTAGGGAAAGCTCTTAATGGAATGTTCAGTAGCCTCCCAGGTGCATCCATTCAGGGTTGTGGTCTCCACTGATTGATTGGCCTGCACCAGAGCAGGGCGTCATTTTTCAATGCAGCTGGTCCTGACGTCAGCTGTGGCTGGTTTTGTTGTTTACCTGGGCCTGGAGCTGAAATACAACTGAGACGTAGACGCTGTCTCCAGGGAGGAGAGGTCACGGGGTTCAAACCTCATGACTAATGATATGCCAGGAGAGGAAAGGTCACCCTGCGGGTGAGGTCCCACCCTACCATTGGTTGTCCTTTGCTAGGCACCCCGGGCTTTCCACCCTGGTGACCTTCTGTGCTGGCCCATGGTCCCTGCTCTGCTCATGTCTGTCTGCCTGCCTGCAGCAGGATAACTTGCTAGATGCTTTAGGTGAAAAAAGTGGCGCCGCCCTGGTCCTCTGCCCTCAGGCATTCTCAGCCCTGCAGAGCCCCAGGTGTGTGCACGGGCTTCAGCACAGGGCAGGCTTAGGAAGTAAAGAAAATGGACACAATTGAACCTTTCTGGAAAAACAGGAGGAAGGACAGATAAACTCCAACTTGTTGGTGATGTGACCGGGAAGGGGATACTTGGGAGGATACATCGAGCTGGGTCTTCGATGGCTGGTTTTAGATGGCGATGTCAGAGAAGGCCCGCAGGAGCGGGGCCGGGGCTGGGCGTGGTAGAGTGACAGGAGGCTGGGCTGGGCGGCAGCTTTGGGGGCACTGGAGCTGGATGTCTAAATGAATGTTGTTTTCCCAAGCATTTGCCGTAGAGGGGCCTGTGCTTGCTCTGCCCCCACCCCCGCCCCCCCACCGTGTTGTGCCCTGTTGTCTGGTTCCTGTGCTGGACTCTAAGCCTTGGCAGGATCCAGGCTGCAACTGTCCTGTCCCCGTGCTGAGCAGTGTGTGCCACGGTGTGGTGGGTACTCCCTGAATCTGCCGGGCACCAGGGAGGCTCTCCTTACAGACGTGGTTTTGAAATTCCACTCTGCGGTTGTCTTCCGAGTCAGTTTGAAATAAATGAGAACTTCAGGAAGACAACTTTTTATCTTAATCTCACCCCTCCTGCCAGAGCTTGTGGTTATGTACCTGTGTGTTTGCTGGTTTTATTGTAAATGATTTGGGGCTTTTTTTCTAAAACTAAATCCACTCTCAAAGAACAAACTTCTGTTAGTTGTGTGAATGTATCAGAGAATTGCCCCTAATTTAAAAGGCAGTTTTTAGTGGTAATTTACAAAACTGTGAAATTGATGGCATTCAAATTGGATTACTTTAGAAAAGGGTACTTGCTTCTATAAGCTGTAGTTTGTTGACAAAATCAAGCACATTCCTTTATAATTACAGGTCATTTGGTACATTTGAGCATCATAGGCTGTGCTTTTTATTTATTTATTTAAAGCTGTTAAATATGTATTGGTGAAAAATATCCTTCTGACTTTCCCACTGCTGATGCTAACTTTACCCTGCTTACTATTCCTGTATAATCCCTTTTCTATGGTTTGTTTTAGTGAATTTTAGAGAATTTAAGAAGTTTTTAATTATAAAAGTATAACAACCCCCATAGGCCTATCCTTTGGTGTGTTTTAAATTTTACCTGACAGTTTAATTATTTCAAGAGTCCTCCAGATCATATTGTGAGCTTGTATGAACTTCAACAGTTTTGTAAGCCATGGGTTGCAAAATCAAATGCCTCTGGGAGCAGGGCAGCAAATAGACAGGAGCGAGGTTGGCTGGGACTGGACCGAGGGAAGGTGGAGAGAGGCAGACCGGAGCCTGAGTCCTGGCTGGAGGATGAGCACAGCGTAGGGTTAGTAAGTTCAGGAAGTGAAGTTTGTTGCCTGTGAGAATTTGGGTCCAGAAATATCCGATCTTAGGACTGTTTCTTAAATGAAGTGAGAAACATGCATTTAAAAAAAATTGATTTCAGAGGGAGAAAGTGAGAGATAGAAACATCAGTGATGATAGAGAATCACTGATTGGCTGTCTCCTGCACCCCCTCCCCCACTTCTGGGGATCGAGCCTGCAACCTGGGCACGTGCCCTCATAGGGAATCAAGAATCAAACCTCCTGGTTTATAGGTCGACGATGCTCAACCACTGAACCACACTGGCTGGGCTGCTTTTTTTTTTTTTTTTAAAGAAATTTACTGAGTTAAAAAGAAAACAACAAAAAGTTACTGGGTCAAAAAACACAGCTGACATGTAGATGCAGCTTACAGGCCAGTCTGTGAGCCTCTGCCCCAGACCAGCTTCCTCATGTCTTCATCTGCGTTGTTGGAAATTTTAGAACTGTCTCAACATAAATTTAAACAAACTGGAATGTTCCCTCGCTGTGAGGTTTGACAGTGTAAACTGACATGTGTAATATAAAAAGATAATGTATCACTGAAAAACCACTTTCCTCACTGTGTTATTTTCTTTTCAGGGTGGTCGTAAAGTTGAATTCCCTGTAGATCCAAAGGTAAAACTATATATATTTTAAATTTTACTTCCACTCTGTCTCTCCGAAGAGAATACTTGTGTGATTTTACAGTTCAGCCTGCATGAAGCATAATTGCAGCCAAAGGAAGTTATCCCAACTTCCACGTGCCGTCCTTCAGGCTGGGAGATGCTGCTGATGGCTCTAGCTGTCGCCAACAGCACGTGCTTCCATGGCTCAAAGGTTCATTGTTGTATCACATTTATATTTTGTAGTTGCATTTACTAATTGTAGGGCCTGTGGCTGCTTGCCAGTTAGGAAAAAGCTTTCAAGCCAAGTTCTCCCAACTCCAAAAGGCTCTTTCTGCTTCCCACATCTATGACATAGTTTGATCTCTAGTTTGTTTCATTTTTGTAATATTTATCGACTTTCAGAGAGAGAGAAACATTGATCAACTGCCTCCTGTACATACACACACATCTCTCATCGGGGATCCAGTCCACAAGCCAGGCATGTGCCCTGACCAGGAATCAAACCGGCAACCTTTCGGTGCACAGGACAACACCCAACCAACTGAGCAACACCGGCCAGGGCTAGTTTGTTTCATTTTAAAAACAACTTAGACCCTTCTGGTTCTTTAGTTTGCTCTAAGTGAAATTCTAAATATCAGTTCTAGACATTGAAACAAGACCCAATTATTTATAAACTGTCTTTTGAACCTTAGCTTTGGGCTGTATCCCAATAGGAAAAAAATTCTGATTTTTTAAATTATAAGATACTGTTATTTAATTCATTTTTAAAAATATCATGAGAAATTTTAATTTGTGTTCCAGGACTTAGTGCTGTTAAATGATTTAACATTTAGCTGTTGAGATAGTTAACGTCTTACAAATTACTGGTATATCTCATTTCTGTTACAGGTGGTTATTTATGAAAAGCCTTTCTTTGAGGGAAAACGGATGGAACTGGAAACAGAAATGTATAATTTTATCACGGAAGGAGGCGAAGCAGAGGAAACCGATGGAGATGCCAGTTTGCCGCTGACGTCGGTGGGGTCCATGAAAGTTCTCAGGGGCATGTAAGTAGAGGCACAGCCGTGAGGATTCCTTTTTCCTCTTTAATCAAGTGATAACATGCACGCCCCCGCCCCAGAAAACATTCCAGATGGTGTGGGAGAGAGTTTCAGACGTGTTCTCCTCAGCCAGTTGTGGCCTGGACTTGAGAGCAGCAGTTTGAGGGGCTGTTTGGGGTCAGTCAGCTGCGCCAGGCTGGTAGATTGGCCCATCCAGATTGGCCAGATCTGCAATCTCGCTTATTAATGTCATGCTCCAAACTGTGGAACTGTTGGTTTGCTTTTCATTTTTTATGATCATATTTTGTACTTTTTAGATCTTATATGTTTCCTTGGAAGTACACTGCATGTGGTCTGGTAAATAGCCAAAAACATATAATATTTTAATTGCTATTTGGAGAAAGATTATCCAGTTTTATTTGCTGATGTCCTTTTGAGTCAGTTCTTGTTAAACACACACACACACACACACACACACACACACACACACGTGCACACCCCTATCTCCTCCTTTACACAACATTGATGTATGTTTCTTAGATTGTTTTCTTAGGGCCATTCTGTTAGTCACTTAAATTTTAGAGAAGAATTCGCATAATCATAATGACTAAGCCCATCTGTGGCTTTATTTTTTTGTTACTCCTCGTGCAAGGATATTTTTCCATTTATATTTAGAGGGTAGAAGGGAGAGGGAGGGACACAGAGAAACATCCATATGAGAGAAACACATTGATTGGTTGCCTCCTTCACCCACCCCACCGGGGCCAGGGATCAAACCTGCAAACCAGATACGTGCCCTTGACCAGAATCAACCCAGGACCTTCTATCCACAGAGCCAAACCAGCCAGGGCCATTTGTAGCTTTATAATGATTTGTATTTGTCAATGAAACTGATACATACAATGGAAACATTTTAGCACTCCTGAGAATTTCTACTCCTCCATTTTTTTTTTTTCTGTTGCAGTTGGGTTGCTTATGAAAAGTCTGGATTTACAGGTCATCAGTACTTGCTTGAAGAAGGAGAATACAAGGACTGGAAAGATTGGGGAGGTTACGATGGAGAACTTCAGTCTTTACGACCTATATTAGGTGTAAGTCAAAGAAAAGTTAATGGCTAATACTTGGTGTTTTAGGATAATACACCAAATGGCTAACCTTTGAATTTTGATTTTTTTTCTCAATAGGATTTTTCAAATGCTCACATGATAATGTACAGTGAAAAAAACTTTGGATCTAAAGGTTCCAGTATTGATGTATTGGGAATTGTTGCTAATTTAATGGAGACCGGATATGGAGTGAAGACACAGTCTATTAATGTACTGAGTGGAGTGTAAGTGAAATAGCCCAACTTGGATTTTAAACATGGGTTTCACCTTGGTTTGTGTTAAATTTATACCTTCTCTGACACAGAGAATTAAACTAAATATTAAATCAGTCCTTTAATACCTACTGCCACTATATTTTCATAATTGCTTTTTAAAACCTTTCTCATTTCATTTTTTCATGTGTAATAGAATATTGGAGTAGGCTTTGGGGTTTATGATAGAAATCCGCAGGTGCTGTTCCCCTGTCATTCTGCATGGAGACATTTCATGAATTTCTTATGATGGGAATCAAATAATAACAGTGATTTAACATGAGAGACCTGAGGTTGGGACAGAGTTCCATTCCATTTCCTGTGGCCCCACACCTACCCCATTATTTTGACATAAAACTAATTGTTTCAATGTCCCTGGAGTTAGCAATTGAATGCTTTAATAATGCCAAACTAAGTTTTTATTGAAAGGTGATTAGTCAAGACACTTTGGGATGCAAGTGACTGCAAGCCAACCTGGGTCGTGTAAGTGATGGGAATGGAACTCACTGGCCTACATACCTGAAATGCCCTGCTGAAGGTTTGCTTCGGTCATGGCTGGACGCAGGGGCTCAGACACCTCATCAGGACAACGTGGTCTCTCTCTATCTCTCTTGGAATCTTCTCTATATTGGCTTCACCTTAGGCAGGCCCTTCCCTCTAGTGGCCCGGGGCAGCGCCCTCTAGCTTTTGTTCTTCCGTCTCACTATCCCAGTGAAAAGAGCTTCTCTTTCCCACAGAAGTTCCAGGTGTGACTTTGATTCTGTGGGCTTGAGTCCTGTGAACCTGCCTAAGTCAGTCACTGTAGCCAGGGAGATGGCTGTGGCTGTGTTATGTGCCCATCGTTGGAGTTGAGATGTCGTTCCAGTCCCCTAGTAACCACTTATATTTGATTGGTGTGAACCGTTCCCAAACATCAGAGAGAATGGGCACAGATCCTGGATTGCGGGGGTGTGTGGGGGGGTGTCTGTTAAAAGGAATTCTACCATTATTCTTATAAACCAGGCTGGTGTCAGTTATAATTTGTTACGAGTGAGAGTATTCTTAAATGGTTATATGAAATCATTTGACTTGGTTCTGCTGAAAGTGCTTGATGTCAGGTTTTTTTATGTCATGAGTAGTAACATAGGCCATTTGAATCATTCTAACCTCAACTCCATTGCATTTCATGGGGCCTTCCACAAGATCCCTGGATATCTGGGGTGTGTCTCAGTGTGGTGTGCTGTCCCTGTGAGTCATGTCCACCAAATTTCTTGTGTAGGCTGTTACTTGTGGCTCTATCTTAGCAGAATGACACCAGGGGCTTCTGGGTCTGCTATTCTTAACAGGAAATACGTTCTACTGGGTCCTGTTCTGGAACCCTAACATTTTAAAATCTGCCATAGATAAAAGGAATGGTATGGCAGAAGTCATCTGAAATACTGCTATGGCAATATTTAAAGACTGCCTTTGAAGTTAAGTATTTAGAAGGAAAATATAGTGGCCAGGTCTAGGCGGCAGTTGTACATTTTGATACTCAGCAGGTGTGTTGGTTCAATTACTCAGAGCCCAGTCATGCAGCCTAGAAGCGGAAGCCCGGCCAGGCTGAGCAGAATTTCCCTGGGGCATTTGCGTAGATTCTGCCGTTGGCACAGATAAGAATTTCTGTACCCCTGCCAGTCTTTTTTTAACCCAGCCCTTATTTATTTGAAATCACTTTTCTTTATGAAATGTTGCTTTTATGTGTTTCTATTTTTAGTCACTTCTAGTAGCATTTCCTGGCGTAGTCTCTTGTTCTGGGTGTAGCAGTTGAGGTTTAGTATTGAAGGGAGGCATGCGTACCCACACCACTTCCTTTCAAATTGTGTGGCTGTGGGAAGGGCCAGCTGCTTCCTCATATTTCATTGGTCATTTGACAAATATTTATTGAGGTCTATTATGTGCACAGCATTATATTATGTCCTCAAAGAAGTTACAGTATTTATATAAAACATAATTATTGCTACAAAAGACATGGGGATTAAGTGCTTTGAGAATCCACATCAGAGGGATTAACTTCCAGTGTGAACTCAGGGATGACTTTAGAGGCGCTAGCACTGAGTTGGGGCTCGTGGGGTGGGAAGATGGAGCTGTGCCAAGATCTGAGGGAGGAAGACGAACCTATTAGAGTTTAATGGTTTTAAAGAAAAGTTATCTTAATGACTTTATTCTTATTGGTAAATAAGCAGTTTAGTTTGGTTCTTTATTTCCTAGTATGGAACTCAAAGTCAGAAAAAAAAACTTCTTTGAGAGTCTTGCTCTGTGAGTTTTTGTTGAAGTCAGGCCCTTTACATAGCACATTCAGAATCTGTTTTAAGTACGAAGTGTGTGGCCTGAAAGGAAACTTTATAGGACAAGTGGCAGTTGGGGTCAGGAAGCGAAGAGAACCTAGTGAGCCTCAGGAGACTCAATCATGGGTTCGATCATCCCTGGCCACTAAGTGATGGTGTCACCTTGGACAAGTCACTTCCCATTCAGAACAAACACCAACAAATAATTCCATTCAGAACAAACACCAACAAATAATTCCATTCAGAACAAACACCAACATATAATTCCATGAGATGCTTGTTATTCATCTGTTAGCTTTGGAGGGCAAGGATTTTGTCTTCCATCTTTGCACACCTCGTGCCAATCTAGTTCCTGACATATGGTAAGTGGCTAATGTTTGTTGAGTGAATAAGTGAATTAACTTTTAATAAATGAATTAGATGTGAAAGCATTCTGGAAAGTTCTTAGTATGCACACAGGCATATAGGTATTAATCCTTTAAGCTGTGAGAGGATCAGGAGGGCAATGAATTAACTGGGGGAAGATATTTGAATGTAACAGAATTGAAAAACTTTCTTTCTCTCAAAAGGCTTTATCTTTGGGTAGGAAATAGCATCCAAGAAGTTGGTTTTGTTGATTTCCCTCTCCGAGTATAGATCACTTAAAAGATAAAGAAAAACATTTCAGAGGGATTTGTCTTTAGTATTTCTGAGAATTTGATCAATTTTGCTTATTACATAGTTGTGTCATGTTGGAAATCCGGTTTAAAACAAAATTTTTGTTACTTACTTGGTTTTTTTGGTGTTTATTTCTTCTGTCAACTTTCCCCCCCAGTGTGGTTTGTAGTGTAGAGACATAGCTTCCTGTAATACCAGTGGGTTTATAGTTGTTTGTATGAAAAATAATACAATCTATAATAACATATAATAATAAAAGCATAATATGCTAATTAGATTGGATGTCCTTCTGCACAAAGCCGGGGCTGCGAGGGAAGCCTGGGTCCTGGGTGTCTGCCTATGGCCAGAGGGAAGCCCGGGTCCCAGGTGCCAGAGGAAAGCCGGTGTCGGCAGCTGGGGGAAGTACGGCCTACTCTTGCACGAATTTCGTGCATTGGGCCTCTAGTAGTCCTATCTAATAATAGACAAACATGGTAATTGACCATACCTTCGCTATGCGGGTGGAACAACGCCATCCCACCTGCCCTGCCGCCATATGGGCCTGCTATCTGCGACCCTGCCCACCCGGGTGTCCGTGTGTGACCCAACCTGGGGCAGCCAGGCGGGGCAGCAGCGATCGGCCGGCCCGCCCAGGCATCCCGTGTGTGACATGACCCGACCTGGGGCGGCTGGGCGGGGCAGCGAAGGCTTGAAGGCGGCTCCGGCTGGAGCAAAGGCCTGGATCCCCGGTGCTGGAGGAAAACCGGCGTCGGCAGCCAGGGGAAGGGAAAGCCTATTGCACAAATCTTTTCGTGCAACAGGCCTCTAGTTAATAAATAATAATACAAGAATAAACTATGTTTCGTGTACTGACAACTGTAGACCTATTTTCCCCCCAGCCAGTATACTTCTGGAAAGAAAATTTAATGTTGATAACAAAAAGAAGTATTTGCCTACTAACAGAACTTTGACAGCTACTTCTTGAAAGTCTAAATTGTTTCCTTAGGATAGAATTAGAAATACAGATATATCCCCACTGGCACTTTCTCAAGGCAGAGGCTTGGATAAGTTTGAAAACACCCAAAAGGGTCACACAAAGATACTCATTCACTTGCCACTTTGATTTCTAATCCAGACAAATCTATCTGCTCTTAAAAGATTAATGGAGAATCAGGAACATTATTAAGGTTGCTGATTGGTGAAACTAATGAAAGTTTCTGTATGATACAGTTACTCAGAGATGTGTGACAGTTTTGTTATATATGTAAACTATGAACTGACTAACCAGTGTTTTTGTCTCTTTAGATGGGTAGCCTATGAAAATCCTGACTTCACAGGAGAACAGTATATACTGGATAAAGGCTTTTACACCAGTTTTGAGGACTGGGGAGGAAAAAATTGTAAGATCTCTTCTGTTCAACCCATATGTCTGGTAAGAAGTTATATTTTTGTATGAGAACACTTAACTGAAATTTGTATTTCCTTAATGTGTGCTTCTGATTCATGTATACTTTACACTATAGAAGCAATGCTGATATTTTTTTAACAGTAATTGCTAATTTGGAATAAAAATGTATTTTAAGATGTCTGCTCTACTTATTTCCTTCTCTTTTCCCTTTTAAACACTTTAGGATTCTTTCAGTGGGCCAAGGAGACGAAATCAGGTAACAAAAAAATATCCTATCTTTATAATTAGGAGCCATCCATTGAAAAGTTGAACATACATGTAAAACTTCAGACATTTGGGACATTTTGTTAGTTTTAACCATTTTTGTGCCTGAAAATATAACTATTTTTAAATTAGATTTAAATTTTCAATGCTTGATAGCATTGACGCATATCTATATACTTATAAAATGGTCTCATTATGTAATGTTAAATTTCATTTACTTTTGAAAAAATTTATCTTTATTGTTGAAAGTATGACAGATGTCCCCCTTTTTCCCCACTGACCCCCTCCACCCTTCCCCCAGTCCCCCTAAATCTTTATATCATTATATTGAATAAGAGTTTACATGAATATTTCAAACAATATAGTTATTGTGATAAACAATATGAGTTTTCATATTTGCTGTATCTGCATTAGACAAACATTTTATATGGTCTCTTGAACATGGTCTCTCACTGGAGCCATTACACTTGTTATTTGGGCTTTTTAATGGAAGTGTTCAGACAGCCTTAATTACAGAGGCACAAACACCACCGTAGCCTCCTTTACTGGCATACACAAGATTCTAATAAGTCAGCAAGTATCTTCCATTGAGAGGGAGGAAAACTATAGTGTTTCCAAAATACAGTTTTCTGTTAATGTTAGAACTGATGAACAATTTACTTTCAGCCACAATAAAGCTTTAAAATGCCTCCCGGCTTGTTAGGACAGGGTGCGCTATAGAAAGCTGCCTCTATTGTTGGATTGTCCTTTGATGTCTCTGAATTAAACAGTCGTGAGTGGTACAGCCCAAGTATTTCTAACGATATTAGTGTAGAAATAGAAAATTAAAGGATTTATAAAATTCATGTCAGTTTACTGTAACAAGGTCGTGGTTGGGTCATCATTTCAAAGGCTGATTGGGTTAATGTGTTTGCAAAACGATTTTATGTATTTCCATTTACTTTTTCCAAGATTCACTTGTTTTCGGAACCACAGTTTCAAGGTCACAGTCGATGCTTTGAAGAAACAACAAGTCAAGTTGATGATTCATTTTCTACCAAGTCTTGCAGAGTTTTAGGAGGCAGGTAAGCAAAACAGTGGACTGGCAGAGCCTCATCACCGGGGGAACATAGAATTCACACATCAGCAGTATTTAGTGCCACCTTTAGATGCTTGGTACGAGATGAAACCGCCCAATAGTACAAGACCCTGGAAGTACTAAAGTATACTTTGCAGAGCATGAGTGCTGGACACAGAGGACCTGGAGATCAGTGTGGGTTGGGGAAGTTAAAGATCACCATCTCATGAGGTTTGGACCAGGTCCTCTACTTTCTAGGCCTATCCCATCATCCAAAAAGGGACTCTGAATAATCTCTAAGGCACTTCCCAAGGTAGATTTTTTTTCAGGTGGATAGGAGGATAGGCATTCTGCACGACAGGCGAGTGCATGGCTGCAGTGGAGTTGGTGTGTATGCTGACCAGGGAGCACACACCCTCTCTAGCTGGGAGGGCTTTGCACTGGGGAGGAGAAGCAAGTCTGGAGGGTAGGATTGGGTCGGGAAGGGCCCCCTGAGCATATGAGCTTAGATAAATGCCATGGGAAACACGATGGGAAAGGCAATGAGCTCAAAGTGCCATGCTGAAAACTGGTTTGAAAGCTTGAGAGAGGGGAGAGCCCAAGGTCAGGGCAACCTGTGCAGGGCGATGAGGACTTCCGTCTAATGACAATAGTAATAGTACCTTTACTTATATAGTTCTTTATGGTCTAAACAGCACCGTCATAACACTTAGCATGGCAGAGTGGAAAGAGCACAGACTTTGCATTCAAATGCAGATTTACAGTAAAACTTCACTGCCAATCAGCACATCCCTCCACCTGTCCTGGTTCCTCTTTATCACCTACCTACTTCATTTATTACCTGCAGACATAGGATTGTTTTGTTTATTTATCATCTTTCTCAGCCCACTGGAATGTAAACTTCAAGACAGCAGGGACTTTGATTTGGCCTCTGTTCTATCCCCAGCAATGGAAAAGTATCTGACACACAATTAGTCCTCAATAAGCATTTGTTGGACTAAAAAAACAACAACAAAGAAACGCCACTCTTCTAGGCAAGCTGATAAATCACCATTTTATCAATAATGCTGAGGCCCGAGGGGCTAAGTGACTTGGGTAAGTCACAATGGTATTTTGACTCCTGGCCCAGTGCTAAGGTGTTGGAAATAAGGAAAAAGGAATGTGAGAGAAATTTTGGGAGGAAATCAAGCAGATCCAGGCAACTGACTGGCTGTGAAGGTTGAAGGATTATTGAGAGGACTCCAGGGCTTGACAACACCTCCCTGGCTGGGAGAATGTGGCACCCAGGAGAGGAGCAAGGAATGCTGGCAGGTGGGGAAGAAAAACATGAATCATTTCATGGAGAGATTTTATTTCCCAAGTGCAAAGCTAACAACTGACTTATTATAAATATTTGTCACAAGATTGAATGCAGAAAATACGTCTAGATATTTTTGAAGAACACTGTTAGCCACAAGCATTATTTTATAGCAGGCTATCTCTAAAATCAGACTTCTTGAATAAGAATACTCCAATCGTGTGTGTGTGTGGTTGTTCCTATGTAGCTGGGTTGTGTACGATGGAGAAAATTTCTCTGGTAACCAGTACGTGCTGGAAGAAGGCCACTACCCGTGTCTCTCTGCAATGGGATGCCTGCCTGGAGCAAGTGTGAAGTCTCTTCGTTTTATAGATGTTGTAAGTATGTCCGTGTGGACGTCTCATTACGGAGATGTATGGTTCACATAGCTGATGGCCAGAGCAGAAACCAGCAGGTAGACCTACTCCAGGCTTGAAGTTGGAGGCAGAAAAAACAGTTGCAGTACAACTTTCTATCCTGTAACTTTTAAATCTCCTTTTAGATGTTTAACATATAAATTGTTTTTGTTTGCTGTTTTCTTAGACTTCAGGTGAAGTACTGACTCAGTAGTGGCACACAACCATCATGAGTTACTAGTTCAAGGCCGCTCTCCTGTTTTTCCCCATTTTATACCTGATTCCTCTCCCTTTCATAGACACCCATGGAATGTGTGAGGGATATAACTTGGATATTCTTATAAAACATATGTTTTCAGAAGATCTGTATCTAGGCTTCTTAATGTTTCTATTGATTTTAGAGAGAGGAAAGAAGAGGAAGAGAGCGGAAAAGAGAAACATCGATGAGAGAAATATTGATCGGCTGCCTCCTGCATACCCCCTGTGGGCATGTGCCCTGACCAGTAATTGAACCGGCTACCTCTAGGTGCATGGGACCATGCGCAACCAACTGAGCCACACCAGCAAGGCTATATATAGGCTTTTGATTTATATACAGTATTACACTATAGTTCTTACTGCATTATAAACATAACAATACCTATATTAAAATTTTAAAGAGCTGTTCATTATGCTGTATGTACATCTCATACATAACTGATGCAAGTATCCCATCACAGTGTTTTACTTAATTCTCATCTGTGCCGCCCCACAGGCCTGTGGGGATCTCTTGGGCATGTATATTAAAGAGTGCATTTGCTGGGATTGTGTACATGAATATGCAGCTTCACTAAGTCCAGTTCTACCACTTCAGACTCTTGCTGGCAGTGTGTGTGGGTTTGTTTTCCACATTGTTGCCATTATTGAGTATTCTGACTTTCTAACTTTGGAAGGAACTGGGTAGAACGTATTCTCTCATTGTTAATTTGCGTTTTACTATTAGAGAAGTTGGTATCTCATATACTTATTAATCAGTTGGGTTTTTTGTTCAGTGAATTGCCTATTATGTCCTTTGCTCAGCTTTTTTATGGTTTTCTGTATATCTTGTTGTTATTGATTTGCAAAAATTCCTTACAGTTTTAAAATTTATTACTCTGTCTTTTAGCGATTTGCAATCAAATGACTCCTCCCGATTTATTATGTGTGTCCTAATCCAGATTATAGTGCCCCTTTGAACAGAAATCTTTCATTTTAATGTAGTCAAAGCAATATTCAATGGAAAACTCCAAGATAATGTTCAGATGTTAGTCTGAGTGTGTAGTGCTGGAAATATTTTAGTTTTTGGTAGCTGATCTCTCCTAAGAAGCTTTAAACATGTAGCTGATTTTAGGCAGGAGTTGGCTTTATCTCATCCTTTCCTGCTTGTTCAGCTAACTAAAGTGTTGACCTTTCTCGAGATGTGAAAATAGTAGCCATGGAACATGGGATGATGTGGTACCATGCCTTAGCTCACAGATGCCACACAAACTACCTCTGAACATCAATGTGCTGCTTACTGGTCAACAGAATCTATGTGTTTGTGAAAATAGTAGCCATGGAACATGGGATGATGTGGTCCCATGCCACACAAACTACCTCTGAACATTAATGTGCTGCTTACTGGTCAACAGTATCTATGTGTCAGGGCACATTCACATAAATGAAGCAAGTCCCACACCCTTGCCACAGAACTTGAAGCAGGTAGGGAATTTCTGATGATCATGTATGATTTTAGGATTATCATCATTAGAGCTTAGTCTAGGGTCATAAGGGTCTATAATTTGAAAGTGAGTTTGAACATAGAGCTTCCATCCGGTAGTTTTCTCTCCTCCTAACAATATTCCTACAGGAAAGTTTGGGAACATGCGTGCACAGAATCACTGTCTGTTGACAATTAAAACAACAAAAAAAGACAGTTGAAAACGCATACAAGGAGGTTCCTGACTAGCAATTCCACTAGACCCTAAAGACTGCAATAGGCCTCCGACCCTCGCCATTTACGTCCATAGCTTTCCAGTCCTAGCCCCTCCTTATCCTAATAGAAAATAGCAGGATTGAAAATAAATTCATTAGCTGTGTTGATATTTCAGACTCATATACCCATTCCTGGGATATCCCCCACCCTTCATAGCACTGTTTACATTTACCTGCCTTTCTATGCAGTAGGAAAACTTCCTGTCCCCCCTTCCTTCCTCTCTTTGGCTCTGGAGTGTATAAACACCCCAACTTCCTGGGAAAGGGAGCTTATGACAGGCCACGATCTCGTGCTCTGTCCTTGTGACAAGATGATTTTCAAATAAGTTCAAGTTACCATTAAAGATGAGTAACATTATTTTTGTTCCTAAACAGGAATTTTCTGAGCCAACAATTATTCTTTTTGAAAGAGAAGACTTCAAAGGAAAAAAGGTTGAGCTTAATGCAGAAGCAGTCAATCTCCGATCCCTGGGATTCAACACGCAGATACGCTCAGTTCAGGTGATCGGTGGCATGTGAGTTACCTACTTGTTCATTCAGTAAGAGATGATTTTAAAGATTAAGTTTGATCATATTTCTTTTTCTCCTACGTTACCTTAAACAAAGTGACATAAACCCCCCTATTTTCTGTAAGGGTCAATGATTATGCACCTTTTCGCACTGGGAAGAGCCATGTGTGAGGCCTCTCTCATCAATTCCTCCAGGCTTTTAGTTTACTTAAGGTAAGGACTTGGTCTTCAACACCTCAAAGTTTCTAGGGGAATGCTTTGTAAGTTTACTGAGCACTTTTTAGCAAGTATGAGAGAGCTCATTTTTCTTTTCCCTTCGAAAGACCAAGTCCTTTGATTTTGGAGTCAGGGCTGGGGTTTTCCTTTAACTAGGAGTGACTAACAGATGCTGTGCACGCTTAAAGGTCAATATGGGAAGATTTTTCTCAACTTTGAATAATTGTGAAATTAAGTAAGATGTAAAAATAAGTAAGAACTATCAATGTAATAAATGTTTTTAAGAAAGTATTTTTGTTTCACTCTCAAAAGTAGGTATAGTCCACTTGTATGCATCAAGTATTGGAGGGGACTATAGCTGTTTAAAAAACAATTATCTGGGTGCTTTAGAGTTCCATGATGGAAAGTCGAGGACATTCTTCCTTGGTAACACATGGGCCAGAGGAAGGCTGCTGGGTCGCTCACATGCCATTGCGTGCAGGAGTCCACATGTCTTCAGGTGTGGGCACCAGCATCCCTAGGAGACCAGAGTATCGTTAGCAGTTTTCTGGACTGAGGAAGATTCCTCTCATTTTAAACAAAAATTTGAGTTATTTACTTTTACTTAAATAGCCCTTTAATATTTATCATATGCCACACAAGAACTTTACAAATATTAGCTATTTAAATAAAAGATCCATTATTACAACTGGAAATGTTTTATAAAAAGCTCACAGGAATACTGGGCTGTCCCACTAAGACTATAATCTCTATTTCATTGCAAAGGTAGAGGAAAAACCTTACTCATTTCTCTTCAAGAATGGTTCTTTTTAGCATAAATATGTACCAAGAATTTGCTATTTGTTGAGAAAAGGGTGCTTGAAGTTATTTAGAAAATAAGGCAGTCCCCCCCTCTCCTGCCAATGTATATTTTAGGTATAAAGCTCAGTTTAAAAACTGAAACGTCCTAAAATATAATTAGGGCTCATTGTCAAATGGATATTGCCGCTTACTTGTGGTTATCTACTTTTTTTCCAGATGGGTTACTTATGAATATGGCAATTACAGGGGTCGGCAATTCTTACTATCACCAGCAGAAGTACCTAATTGGTATGAATTCAGTGGCTGTCGCCAAATAGGTTCTCTACGGCCTTTTAATCAGGTATTTTCTTTTTCTCCACGTTTGAATAGACTCTTCTCTGAATTTTTTTTGTAAATGTAATTTAACATTTTCAGTTTGAAATTTGCCACTCCCTTCACCACCATGAACTTCTGAATTTGGGCTGTTTCTGACTGCTTTCAGAAATGCTCTCATGCCTGACATCAAAACGTGGTGTGTCCCAAACTCCAAGCGCTGGGTTCCCACAGGCAGGCTCCTTGCCCCAGGCACTTCTTTGACATTTCACCAAAATCTTCTCAGCGAAAAAATCCTAAAGCCTCTGGGGCTCTTGGGTATAGAAATTGTCCCTAATACAACCTCACCTTGAATTCGGCCCCTGCTCTTGATGCTTGTTCAGAACTTCTAATAGTACAACTTACTTGTGATCATTGCTGGGGTTTTGTCTTCTAGAAACGTATTTATTTCAGACTTCGAAACAAGGCAACAGGGTTATTCATGTCAACCAACGGGAACTTAGAGGACCTGAAGCTTCTCAGAATACAGGTCACAGAGGACGTCGGCGCTGACGATCAGATCTGGATTTATCAAGAAGGATGCATCAAATGCAGGGTGAGCTTTAGGATAAGACAAAGGTCTGTGACGGCATCTTTCAAATTAATGCTATTTCATGATTCCTGGACCACCTTCAGAAATAAATTAGGTTTTCCATGAAAATATTTCTTAGCTCTTATAGAACCAGTCTACGAACGTAAAATGGGAGTAAATCTAACTCTGATCCAAGATAGAGCACTGATATCTATACTTGATTTTTATATAGTAACTAGAGGCCCAGTGCATGATATTCATGTACTGAGGGGAGTCCCTCAGCCCAGCCTGCGCCCTCTCGCAGTCTGGGACCCCTCAGGGGATGTCTGCCTCGTGGGAGGGGGGAGACTACCTTGTTTTCTAAGCTGGCAGGCGAACATCCCCTGAGGGATCCTTAGTGCTGCCGCAGAGGCGGGGGAGGCTCCCACCCCTGCCACTGCACTTGCCAGCCATGAGCCAGGCTTCTGGCTGAGCGGCGCTCTCCCTGTGGGAATGCACTGACCACCAGGGGGCAGCTCCTGTAGAATGTCTGCCCCCTGGTGGTCAGTGTGCTTCATAGCGAACGGTCGTTCTGCTGTTCAGTCGATTTGCTATTAGGGTTTTATTATATAGGGTAGAAAATTATATAGGAATTTCTACTAGGTATAGAAATTAACTATAAGCCCCAGCATTATCAACAAATTAGTCTTGGTTTGCTTCCTTTTTGGAGGATCTCAGACTAGAATTAAGGGTGAAGAAGTACCAGCTTGCGTACCATTTCCACATTGGCACACCTTGAGAATGGACAATGCCCCACCTCCCTCCTATCACTCCTCCATAACACACGATTACGGGCTGCAATGAGTAAGCGTTTATAAGAGGAGCTCATGCTTCTGTTGCAGATATTCTTTTTAACTTCCTGATTTTATGGGCTTGGCTGTTTGCTTCCGATTTTTTTCTAACTGTGGTGCCCCATGAGTCAGCAGAAGGCACACAGCCTGTGAAAGGTGTGTTAATTAGGTCTGTGGGGCCTGAGGGAGAGGCATCCTTCCAGTAAGCCTAAGGGCTGTTTAGACTTGCACAGAAGGAATAGCAAGAGCTGTTAACAGAGAAGCACAAAAAGCCAACTTTTGCCTTTTAATTATCTTAAACAATTCAAGAAATTGGAGCCTTTCATCAATTATTTCTAACAGATATTTTAGTGATGTTATTTAACGACTTTGAATTGAGTAGGTCAATGAGAAGTAGCCTAGATCATCACAGTCCTTTTATCTCAAGTAGAACAGTACTTTCCAGTTCTCTCCATGAGCATTTTCTTCAGCGATCTGTGTTAATGTCATGTGAACATGTGACTACCATACACTGTTTATATATTGAGAGTACATACACTTCAGAGAAGGACCCATAAAATTCCTACATGAAAATACCCTTTACTGTATTGGTATTTTCTTCTTTTTATGGTTGGATAGCATGCTTTTTTAGAAAATTTGACATTTCTCATGAAGGAAAGACAAGAGAAATAAATGGGATTTCAAGGTTTAAAATGACAAAATGCCCTTTTAGCCACTTTAGTGCTACAATAGCCTTCAAAATTAGAGGTGCAGCCACATTTTAGAAGGGTCTGGCTGCACAGAGGTGGTTCTGTGGGGGTAGGTTTGGTGGCATGATCAGCCTTGGAGGACAGTCATTTCTGGGAGGGAAAACCATCATGAGGGGCAGCTTTGATGTTCTCAGGCTTCTCTCACTAATAAGACAGTCTCCCAAAGGGCAGAGGTCCCTTAAAATGGAGAAGAACAGAGAACCCTCTGTCATTCGTGTCACCTGACTAAAGGGCATAAGGGTGAATGAAGTCAGGATCTAGGGTGGCTTTAAAAATCAGCTTAAACAGGGAACTGATCACAGTGACACTTGAATGTGTGTTCCTAAGACACGTATCTCTGTACCAAGCAGATAGCAGAAGACTGCTGCCTGACGATTGTGGGGAGCCTGGTCACTTCCGGCTCCAAGTTGGGCCTGGCCCTGGACCAGAGCACCGAGAGTCAGTTCTGGAGCATGAAGTCCGACGGTAGAATCTACAGCAAGTTGAAGCCAAATTTAGTTTTAGATATCAAAGGTAAGGCTTGTTCCCTTTATCTTCTTGGTTGTGCCTTTTTTTAGTTAACTAAAAATCTCTTCTTTACTTTTGAAAATGGTGAGCACTAGTATAAATAGTAAGAGATCTTTCACTATGTCAGCCACTGTGCTAAACACTTTGCATTGTCATGTGATCGTCACAGCAAACTATGTTATCCCCTCCTTCCCATCCCACTTTACAGCCCCCAAAACTGAGGCTTAGAGGGGTTAATCCATTTGGCAATAAGTGTTGAGGTAGAGTCTGGACATGGGCTGTCTTCAAGCCTTTTATTTTAACAGTGAGACTGAAAATCACAAGTTAAAAGGCTGTGGTCTCAGTATTAGTTGATGATTCTCATGTCTATACATGTAATCTTTCATTGAAAAGATCTAAGATCTAAAAGGAATTAACACAGCCAAGAGGATTTCAACTGAACATCTGTTCAATGAAAATCCAAAGCAAATTGATGGTGCTTGAGAAGAACAAGTAAATTTAGGACAGTGTTTCCCAAACTTTATCTGTATCAGAATCACATAGAGGACTTATTAATGGAGACTTTCTATTTCCTACCAGGAAAGCCAACATGATTATGTTTATAAATTTAGTGAAATGGTTATAATGTAGCCTTACTATATCACATACTTCATTTTAAAAAATTGCTGGGAAGTTGGCTCAATTTTACTTTAATCAGGGCTCTCGGCCAAGCTGTCATTAAAAATTGATATAGGGATAAAGAAGCAGCTGCAACTCAGTTTTAAAATAATTTTTCTGGATGATGGAGAAGGAGCATTTTTATCAGGGACTTTGGGGACTGTGTGAGGAGCAGAGGTGGGCGTCACCTGTGTGTGACCTCCAGATGGATGGTGGCCAGCCCACTTAATAACAGGATTAGAATTCACAAGGAACCTGAGAAGCTGGAAGGGTGCTCAGGGGCAAAGGCAGAGTACACTTAGGGTGCACAAGCTAAGTAATATAACAGGCTGGATGGGAGCCAAAAATAACATCAAATGCAAGATATAAGAAAGTAGATGTAACATTCAGAGAATGAATGGTGATATAAATACACCTCCTTCACATTACATTGGATACAAAATTTGTCATTTGTGGACATTCTACAAATGGTCAACTGTATACACCTCCTTCACATTACATTGGATACAAAATTTGTGGACATTCTACAAATGGTCAACTGGAGGTTCAGACTGGTTAAGAATCACAGAACCAGACTCTCCTCGATTCTTATTTTCATCAACCTGTTCAACTGGAACTTCTCTGTCTATAAGATAGTTTCAAAACCTCCAAGAAGCCAAGGAAAAGCGACTGAGTTGGAGACGTGGGTTTTTTTGAACACATGGATTCATGTTTCTTACAAATGTGATCAGCTTCTGTGCGAGGCTAAGGACACTGTCATCCTTATGAGCTAACTTCTTGGAGCATTTCTTCTTTTGTTCTTTCAACCTGTATTTACTGGCTACTCACCAGGCGGAAGGCTCAAAGTGGGAAAAAGGATACTGTCATGGCTTTAGAGAGCTTACCTTCTAGAAGTGCTAGGCATACAGGACTTTTCCCCACTTGCTACATTAACAGCTGACCCGGGAGTTAGGACACCTGGCTTTTAGTTTTACTCTGACAAGAACTATGGGACTCTAGGAGGTTCCTCCTTAGGACTTTAAGTTCCAGAGTCCCTTCCTAAAACGCACTGAAATTAGCCAAATTCGTCTTGAGTAAGGATATTGTCTGTAGGCTTGTGAATGCTCAGTCTATCTAGTATGGTAGCTGCATTAGTCACTTGAGGGCTTGTTAAACGGAATTTGTCTCAGAATGTGGGAGAATGGTGCCATCTTGTGGACATGAGCAAATAGGGCCACATCCCACAGACTGCTAATACAAATACATCTCTTTGGTGCACTTTATAGGAAACTATAATTTGCATTAGCTATAACTGTGGAACCATTTGTTACCTAGTGATGTTGCCATAAAATTTATTAGACCTGTCTCCTGGTGTCTGGGGAGCGAGTTGTTTGGGTAGACAATCACGTATTGTTCCAGACCACAACATGACAACAGTGGGTGCTGATTCATGCTCACTTTAAAAACATCAGATGTCTGGGCTGATTTTAATTCTCCCAAAGGAAGAAGAATGAATCAGATTATTTCTCAGGAACTTTATAGTCTTCATGATTCTAATTAGAATTATGCTGTAATGTACACAGAAAATAAGTTAAAATACTATAATCTTGAAGAAGGGAAAGAGGACATTGGGACCTTGAGAGGGCACTTCCAGAAATCCCAGTGGAGCACACTGTGTGTCTTGATGGGCACAGTGGGATTTACTGCAAAAGTACACGTAGAAGGCCCAAGGCACACTGCCCTTGTAGTCTGTGCTACACCTAGCTGTGTGGAAGCTCTAGACCCGTGGTTGGCAAACCGCGGCTCGCGAGCCACATGCGGCTTTTTGGCCACTTGAGTGTGGCTCTTCCACAAAATACCACGTGGGGGCGCGCACGTACAGTGCGATTGAAACTTCGTGGCCCATGCGCAGAAGTAGGTATTTTGTGGAAGAGCCAGTATTTTGTGAAAGAGCCACACTCAAGGGGCCAAAGAGCTGCAGTTTGCCGACCACTGCTCTAGATAAGTATGTCAAACTCGCACCCTATGGGCCGCATGACTCATATATTTGGCCCATGTTAGCCTTTGAGTTTGACATGCTTGCTCTACAGTCAGTGATGATAAACCAAACTCTATGAGAGGAACGCTAGATAAGAGATGATTTCCTTCCCCAGCTACCCAGCTCTATAGTGTAAGTAACCTTTTGGATATTTTGTAAGTGCTTTGAAAGAGAATAAGGACATTTAATTCTTAGCTTGAGGCTGCAGTATGATTTCATTGCCAGTCACACTAACCCTGCAGCCAGATGAAGATTTTTATTCTGATGGAGTCCTCAGTGACATAGCCTTGGTGCAGAGACTTATGCTAGAAAACTATAGGGTATCTGAAAGGATGTTTATTCCACACTGGGGGGAAAGTCAGATGAGAAGACACTTTAACACTCTGAAATATCTAGTAGGTCCTGTTGGGAAATATTCTTACAAACATTCTGGTGAAAGGAGTTTTTGGAGACCATACTAGTACAATGGAACTCAGCATCTGAAATGCCGCGAATTTTATACACCAAAGCCTGTGAGCTCAGTAGTGGGAGTGCTGCCCATACCTCTGGTGTCATTCAGACCTCCCCCTTTACCTAATACAGCCATTTTTCATTGTTCATGCAAAACCTGTTCCAAAAAGACAACCATCCCACTATATCAGGTCTGCCTGCTTTTCCCTCACTGATGCCTCGAATCCTTGACCCCACCACTGAGTATATTTCAGTCTCTGCTCCTTTTCCCTTCTCTATATTCTTCCCTGTGCCCCCAGTATCAGACATCCTAATGACTGTGGAGTAGGTTTTGAGACTTGCATAGGAAAAGGAGCCCAGGAAGTAGGAGATCCTGTGTGGAGCTGCTGGTGCCCTTATGGGATTTTAACACATTTACCCCCAGTGACTGAGCCTGTCTGAGCCTGTCAGACTGGGTACTTGTCAGGGTTCTGCTCCTGCTTTGTTTCATGCGGCACATGGCTCTGCACCTGGTTACTTCTACTCTCGTTACTCTGGTGCTGAGGTTAAATGTGTTGGCTTCACGGTGGGCACATTTCCTTTCATGTTTTCCTTTTTTTCAGGGGGTGCACAGTATGATCAAAACCACATTATCCTCAACACCGCCAGCAAAGAGAAGTTAACACAAGTGTGGGAAGCCATGGTCCTATAGCCCTGGACAACGCAGGAGGACTATTTCTGGAGGTCTTCCAGCTACCTTATTTAAAAAGAAAAGGACTGCGGACAGGAACCAAGAGGAAAGCGGATGTGCTCCTCAGCAACTCTAAATTCACTCATGAATCACAGTGCCAGGAGCGGGACAACTGTCTCATCTCTTCAAAAGACTAATGGTTTTAAACCAATAATTTGTTCTTCTTTCACTTCTTGCCTGTCAGTTCCTTTCAGCAGCTGCTTAAACAGGTTGCCTCATTAGCGGCGTTGGGGTGTTTTAAAAAAAATCTTATCTCAAGACGTTAAGACTGTACATTTTACATGATTTCCAAAGACAGTGACAGGAGAGAACAGGAACAAATTCACCGACTTGGTGGACCTACATCGCCTTACACTTTAAAGGGAAGGGTAAAGCTTAAGTCTGTAAGGTAGAAACTGTTTAGACCTTAGAAGAAATAATGTATTAGGCCTAAGTTTTGGTCTTTGACCTTCTGTTTTCTGAAATCATTAATTATGCTGTATAGCCAATTGGGAAATTATATATTCAGACATATGTTAAGGAATTGAATGAGTATAGACAAAACACTTCCAGAAAGTATCTGTGGTATTAATTAGTTTTTAATTAATATTAAAAACTAGAAAATTTAAAAGATTTCATGTCCATGTCTGCTTACATTTATTAGCAGGATTTGGATTATTTTAATTCACCATGGGCTGCCCTAGATTTTCACACGAGTGTTGTTTGAAGCTTTTCTTACAGATGCTGCTAGAACAGTATACCATGATCTAATTTATTAGCCCATCCCCACTCATCTATAACTAGTTCTGAAGCAATGTTATGCAATCCTTTGCTAAACTCAGGTAATTTAGCCTAATTCCCTGCCCTCCTCCCATCCAGCTGCACTGGCAGGAGGCCTGCGCGGGGCTACCTTACTGGTGATGTTGCACAGCCATGCTCCGAGGACAGCTCAGGTCTCAGGGTATTGCAGCCCATGGTCACTTGGGGTGTGGAAGGCTCAGGAGGATGACCAGCAATTCTCCAAAAGGAAAGGTCAGGAGGCCTTCAGTGATGCTTATTGGTCAAATCTTAGAACTCTGAAAACCGTAAAATTCAGCAAGCGCTTCAATGAAAGTTCAAAATGTTTAACTGCTGACGATACACTGCCCAGATGGTGCTGTTCATACTGTGGATACTCATTTTGAACAAAACTGCTAAAACAGTCCTTGAACACCCTCTTCCTCTTTCTGTCCCCACTTCATTGTCCTCGGCACTGAATGCTGGTGCTCTTGTCACAGGAAGAACAAACCTGGTTTCCTTTTCATGTTTCCCATTCTGAAGTGTTGATCCTCTCTGGAGTCTGTGGTAAGCAATTATGGTCATCATAGTAGTATCTTCGGTTTTAAAGTAATGTTTGTACATGTCCAATAGCAGCCAGCATGTCTGTCTTGTTCTGAGGTGTGTGGCTCTGATTTTCGGCCTTTGTGCATCCATTACAGTGTGGTGGGGTAAGACATCCTACAGTAGCCTCTGTTGAATTTATCTCTTGAATAAACTTGTTTCTGGTTAACTGTGTTATGAAATTGGTTAGTAGCCCTCATTAACACTTCAAAGGGAGTCAGCTGGCAGATTAGAAACAAATGCCTAATTAGGACAAAGCAAGTTTCAGGGGGGCTAGAATATGGCAGGGAAAGGTCAGCTGACTCCCCTCTTTCCAGACACTGGTGAAAGGGTGCACTACACTTTTTTGAGTGGACATGAGGGGGAGTGAGGTCCTGCCTTGAGTTTACCCTGCACCACCCCCTGGGATACCTCAAAGTTAAAGAGCTGACTGTTCAGGTGGAAGTCAAAGTGGCATATTTACAACTGAAAAAACCCCACAGTTTTTTCTTTTGAGATAAGTCTGTAGTGATGAGATCAGCAATTCCAGAGAAAAGCCCTCATCCAACACACTAGTAAATGAGTATCTACTAGGAATAAACTAAGCAGAAAGTTACTCAAACAGGTCTATATCAAAAGCTAAACGCGAGTGTCTAGGGTGCAGTAATGATGAGTACAACAGGAAATGGACACTCACCTGCAATGAATGAAGGGCACACTAGAGATTCAAAAGCCGCACTGGGCATTTGCTAGTAAAGTCAGAAACTGGAGAGCTGTGGGCCCCAGTGGAATGGTGGAAATTTCCATGGAAAGGTCCCCAGAGAAGCATGTTTCACTGGTTGAAGGAGGTCTAGCTCTTATGCAAAATGTAAGGGTTTTTAAAAGTTAGGCACTTTAGCATCACTTTCAATTTCTAAGAGTAAACAACCAAATCACAGCCAGATGTTTATGTATGACCCCAAGAGGTTCAGAACTCAGCAGAGGAACAAAAATCAAAGGAAAGCGTGCTCACTGCTGAACCTAAGAGGGAGCATAAAACAGTAAAATCAGTTTCAGCCACTAGGACAGAAGGTGCCACAACAATTTGCAAATCTGGTGTGAAAGAACAGCTTGGAAAAAACAACATGCAATTTTCACTGACTTTATAGACAAGTCCAAGTGTGGCTATGTTCACAGTGTGTCTTACGTGTGCATCCATTGTGCTGGGCAGAGGACAGACCTCTCAGCAAACAGGAGTGGGTTACATCAGAAAGCACTCGGCAGGGCAGAGGGATGTGTGGAGGGTGGCGGTGTGGCTGTAAAACCAATCTCTGCTCAGTTTAGAAGACAGGAAATTACTAACAGAAAGTGTTCCTTTTTTTATATATAACATGGAACTTATAGTCTAATCTGGAAAGGGTGGCTAAAAAAAAGTTCGGGCCCACCAGCACTCACCAAATAAGCGAGCCAGTAATCACCAAACACTATTTATTTAAATGACATTAATTACAGTCTTTCCTCGTGCATGTCCTCTTTCCACCTTCAGAAAGGCTTCTGGAACTTCAGAAAAAGGAAAGGTTTTTTCAATAACTGGCTGAATCTGTAAAACACAAGAAAAGGTTGACGGGTGGGTAAGAACAGCGACATCCATCAAGGCAGGTAACGTCTGTAATCAGTTTCTTCACTAAGACCCAGTCTCTCTCCGGTCTGTCTGTGCCTCTGGGGAGGAGCTCTCTGCCAGGCCTGTGACTGCTGTCCCTGCTCCCATCTGCTCCTCCTCTCTGTGAGGTAGCCCCGCTGCATCATCACTCAACCTAACTTCTGCTAAGCGCTGGTCATGTCACTCTCCTACTCAGAACCCTTCAACAGCTACCAAAACTGCATTCAAAGGCCACCACCATCCAAACCTCAGCCCTTATGCAGACTCCACACTTCACCAAAATGGTCTGCTTGTCATTGCCTGACATGGTGAGTTTGTGCCTCTCTGTGTTCTACCACCCTTCCCGCCCAGGCCTCACACGACCCTTCCTGACCTCCCAGTTTGCAGTGTTCTCTCTGAACTGCTACAGGACCCATGAGGCCCTCTTCATGGACTGCTTGTTACAGCTGAGTACACGTCTTACCCACCCAATTGGGAAATACCAAAGAGGGTACCCCAAGGTTCTTGCTGTATGTATACCTGTGGCCACCTCACAGGCAGTGCACTGAATGAAGACAGATTTCTTTGTTTTAATTTGTTAACTGGCATATTTACTTGATCCAAGCTGAGAGTATCTGTGGTATAGGCCACCTCTTTTGTATCCTCCACAACACCCAGAACAATGCTAGGCATGTGACAGGAGCTCAATAAATATCACTTATATCTATGACAAAGGAGGCAAGAATATACAGTGGGATCAAGACTATCTTTTCAATAAATGGTGTTGGAAAAACTGGACAGACACATAAAAAAAGAAACTAGACCACTTTCCTACACCATGTACAAGAATAAACTAAAACTGGATTAAAGTAAGACCAAAAACCATGAAACTCCTAGGAAAAAACATAGGCAGTAAACTGTTTGACACCGCTCAAAGCAATATTTTTTTGGCTATATCTCCTAGGGCAAGGGAAACAAAAGAAAAAAATAAACAAGTGGGACTACATCAAACTAAAAAGTTTTTGCATAGCGAAAGAAACCAACAAAATAAAAAGACAACTTACTGAATGTGAGAAGATATTCACCAGTGATACATCTGAAAAGGGCTAATATCCAAATATATAAGGAATTCATACAACTCAACACCCAAAAACAATCCGATTAAAAAATAGAGGACCAAATAGACATTTCTCCAAAGAGGACATACAGTGGCCAATAGACATATGAAAAGATGCTCAATGTCAGTAATCATCAGAGAAATACAAATTAAAACCACAATTATCTATCACCTCACACCTGTGCTTATCACAATAAATCAACAAACAACAAGTATTCACTGCAGCATTACTAGATATGGAAGCAACCTAAGTGTCCATCAATAGGCAACTGGCTAAAGAAGATGCAGTACATATATACAATGGAACATTACTCCACTGTAAAAAAGAATGAAATCTTGCCATTTGTGACAACATGGATGGACCTACAGGGTAGTATTATGCTATGTGAAATAAATCAGAGAAAGACAAATACCATACAATTTGCTTATGTATGGAATCAAAAAAGAAATGAACAAACAAAACAGAAACTAACTCACAGATACAGAGAACAAAACCGATGGTCAGCAGATGGGGTTGAGAGGCTAGGTGAAAAGGGGAAGGGATTAAAATGCCAGTTATAAAAAAAGTCACAGGATATAAAATACAGCGTAGAGAATTTAGTCAATAATATTGGAGTAACTGTGTATGGTGTCAGATGGGTACTGGAAATATCAGGGTGATCACTTCGTAAGTTATATAAATGTCTAATTGCTATGTTGTACATCAGAAATGAATATAATGTATATCACCTATACTTGAAAAATAAATATTTTTTAATTAAAAGAATACAGAAAAATAAGACACGGTTAATAAAAAAAATTTTTTTTAATGTCACTTAGGTGGAAGCCAGTCAGATAACTGGGAAGTAAGAGTCGTATGTGGGCAATGTGGGCCTGAGGAGAACTCGTCCAGGGCTGGAACTGCCTTGGGAGACTTTGCTGAACAGCAAAGATGTTGGTCAGAATTGACACAAAAGCCACCTCAGCCATTCAAAATGCCTGAACGTTATTTTTACCATACGGTTCAATAGTACTACCAAACACCTCCTTCAGAAACTTGGTCCCAGGTAGCACCCTCTCCCCATGCTGAGCTCTTCCTTTTCAAAGCTTCAAGCAGAGTTAATAATTGACACAGTGGACCACCTACTGTACCTCCACGGGATAAGCTATCAGAAGGCATAAGCCAACACATATGTTTTCTGACACTTTTCCTTTTACAAAAGGAAGAAGAGTTATGTAGTGTTCCGATGCACCTTTCTCTTGTGTGAATTTCCCAGCTCAGCCACCAGAAGAGCACCTCAGACTCCAAATGTTCCCTTCTCCAAAGAGTTGGAAATTCTTCTGTACCCACAAATCACAATAAGCTCATGATAAAAGTAACAGCTGGTACATGTTGTCCTCCCTGCGACAGGTGCCCTTCTAAGTGCTCTATATAGTTTACCTCATTTAATCCCTATAACCACCTTACGAGGTAGGTACTATTCCCACTTTACAGATGAAGAAATTAAGGCACAGAGTTAATAAGTTGCCCAACACATAACTACCAAGTGGTAAGGCAGAATTCGATCTACTGCCAGAGTCTGTGCTCTCACAACTGCTCACTGAGCCTTTCATATAATGTCAGCTGCTTTCTACAGCTCCTTCTAAAATATTAAGGTGGGGAAAGGTAGCCAAGGATTATAACCACTTACCTGTATCTTGGCTCGCATGCCTCGTGCTATGGGATCATGCCAGCTGCAGAAGTGGTCCCTAAACCCTGTGTCCAGGCCACTGAGATGGTAGATGTGTGGTATATATGCCACCCCTCCCATCTGCACCATGGAGGACACCCCTGATCAGTAATCATGGTTCTCCCAGCAAGCTGAGCATGACTTTCAGAACTCAACACTGCAGTCACTATGAACAGATCTGAGCCGGCTTGTTAGATGAAACCTATTTGCCTTCTCTGCTAAAAAGAATGGAATGCACTAATGTTGTGTCTTGCATGTCCCATATCAAACCTCCTAACCCTCCAATCTCTCTAAAGCTCCTGGGACATTGTTTTCTGGATGCTGATTACCTGAAAAGGAATCACCTGAATGCATGCTCCTTGGCCTCCTGTTAGAACTAAATCAGAATCTCTAGGGATGAGGTGGAGACAATTCATTTGAAATAAGCTTCCCAGGTGAATTTCTGCACATTAGTAGCCTTTTGCCCTATTCTTAGGGTCCCTGACTCATATCATACACACATTTATTCATTCCACAAAGATTGACTATGTGCCTTCTAAATGCTAGGCACTAATCCAAAGCCGAACACAAAACAGGCACCTGTGACAAATTAAGAAAGGAGGCAGTAACATAGACTTGTCATAGAACATTGGACACCAGTCACAGCACCAAGGCAGCAGCATGGCACCAGAGGCCATAGAGGACCCCGAATTCACCGCTCCGCTCCAGCACGAGCTGCCTCGGGTCATCCCGCTCTGGTCACTTTACACTCTGACGAGAGACCGGGTCTGGAACTGATGACACAGGCCGCCTGCAGCGACTGCACACTTTAATCGGGTGGTCAGGCCTATTGTGGGGATAAGCCCAGAAGGCTGACTGTGGCATAATGAGTCATTCAGCTCTTCCCATAAGTGACAATAAAAAGAGGCTCTTGATTAACAGGCAGGCAAATGCCAATGTTGGCCAAATATGTGATAGCAAAGGGAGATTAACTAGATAATGAGGCAGTGTCTGTGGACAGCTTCGCTTCAGACCTACAATGCTCGTTTGTTATGGACAAAGGGATCGGTAAAAACCCAGAGGGGAAAGAAAGGTGACTCGCAGTGAGGTGGAGACGTTTATGTGATGACACTGCTATAGTCCACCCAGCACAGGGAGCCCTGTTATAAAGCCAGTGGGCTCAACACCACACCCCCACTATGGACGGGGCTCACAGCTGACCAGGAGGCAGATGCCATGGCAGCAGCACTCATTCCAGTCTTGGCCCCAAACTCGGGGTCTCCTGATGGTGCCTTACCTTCCTTAAACACAGGCTGTAGAAAGCCAGGCCCCAGGGGTTGGCACTTGTTGCCTGACATCCCTCCTATGAGGAGTTAGGGACAGTGGGAACCTCAGCCTCCCTTGTTCCTCCGAGGCATACTGACGCTTACCAGCCTCGGAGCAAAACCCTGTCTGCCCCTTGAGGAAAGAGGCAAGAAAAGCCTGCTCACCACAAAGCACAGGAAAGCTGGTGGTGCAAGGACATCATCCAAACAGGCACAGCAGAAGGTTTTCCCTCAATTCCCATTTTCCCAGTGAGAGCTGCAGAACAGCAGAGCTTAAAAGGCATCCCAATACTAAGCGAGCCTATTTGATTGATTGGGAAACCGAACCGCAAGTGATTAAGTGCAAGGTCAGAGCAGTCAGCAGAGGAGACACACTCAGGACAGCATGTGTGAGTGCACTGTGGGGAGGGAAGCTCGGGGAAGTCTGCCCAGCTGTCCCCCAGACCCTGCCTCGGCGTCCACTGCACATGGAAACCGCAGATATCAGAAGGTGGGGTTTATGAGGAGAGACAGACGAGTGACAGGCACCAAGATGATCTAAGGGTCCTGGCATGAGTCCAAGTCCACACTCCTGTGGACAGACACCAGGGAGCCAGGGCAGGGTGACAGAACTGCAGTCCCAGCCTCTAGAACAGGTATGGCCCTGACCTCCGAGATAGGTTCAATATTTCCAGGGTCGGGGTAAAGGGGAATGAGGGGACTTAAACTAAGGAGACATAAAGAAGACAACAGAAAGAGGCAGACTTTGTTTGGATTTGCTATTTCTGGAACTTCCTGCCCTAGATAGAAAACATTAAGCTAGAAGATAGGCGGTGAGATGGGGTGGGATGGGGATACTCTCAGAGGGAGTAACTGTGCCCATTTTGGAAAGCATCCAGGACTTATCCCTAGATCCCCATGAAAAAAAGGCACTCCTTCCTGCCAGGTGTGAGGGAAACTCTGCCTACATTTCCCCCACAGAAATAATCTCAGCAGCATCAGAAAACGTCTGTGGCGTCAAGGCTTCAGATCCATGAAGCACTTGCCATATCTAGCAAGATAACCCTCTTCTAGTGTTCCTAGGATTCAATTCCTGATCACTGCATTCTTTCTATGGAGGAAAAAATCCAGTTAAAAATAAGGAGCCTACAGTTTTGCAATGTAATTAACTGCCTAAACTAGGGGCTGGCCACCTCAACAGGGGTCTGGGAAATTGCCTGACTCAGAACTTGGTACATTTTTTCTCTAAAACTGTACTGTCCAATACGGTAACCTCTAGCCACATGTGGCTATTTGAATTTAAGCTAATCAAAAGTCAATAAAATGAAAAAGTCAGTCTCTCAGTTGCACTAGCCACCTTTCAAGTGGTCAACAGCCACATGTGGCTAGTGGCTACCACACTGCACAGTGCAGACAGAGAACTTCTCCATCCCTACAGGGAGCCAGTGTAAGCACTGCTTGGAGGTAACTCAGCGTTGCCAAAATACCTCTCCACATCCTCCTGGGTAAAGCAGAGTACTTGTGGGCCCTCAGTAAATGTTCTGAATTAAATTCGAATTAGTACATAGGAACTATTTTGATGCTGGCTCAAATAAAGACATAAACGGAAGTATCTACATCATCACTCAATCAAGAAGCTTGGCTGGTCACCTAGGATCTTCAATAGACCTGTGGACATTAAGTATATGACATCAAAGGTCTCTAGTAATTACATGAAGAATGTGTGCAAGGAAACATACTCAAAAAGATGAAAGGGTACAAAGAAAAATTTCCCTCCCATACTTGATCCCCAGCCATCTAGTTCCCCTCCTCAAAGGCAACCAGTATTTTAAATTTTTTTTCATATCTTTTGAGATATTTTATGCTTGTGGCGGCCAGAGTAACAAAACCTGCGAATATGATCATTTAATTTGCAAAAGGGTCTCTGCAGATGAGATTGTGGTCAGGATCTTGGGATGGGAGAATTAGCTGGGTAAGTCCAACATAATCACAAGGGGGAAGCAGAGGATTAGTCAGAAGGAGAGAGATGAAAATGGAAGCAGAGGTCAAAGTGACGCAAGGCCATGAGCCAAGGAATATACGTAGGCAGCCTCTAGAACAGCGGTTCTCAATGTGTGAGTCTCGACCCCTGTGGGGGTCGAACGACCCTTTCACAGGGGTCGCCTAAGACCATCGGAAAACACATATATAATTACATATTGTTTTTGTGATTAATCACTATGCTTTAATTATGTTCAATTTGTAACAATGAAATTGGGGGTCACCACAACATGAGGAACTGTATTAAAGGGTCGCGGCATTAGGAAGGTTGAGAACCACTGCTCTAGAAGCTGGAGAAGGCAAAGAAACAGACCCTCCCCACCAACTGCCTCCAAAGGAACACAGATCTGCTGACCCATTTTGGACTTCTGACCTCCACAACTGTAAGATAATAAGTGTCATTTTAAGCCACAACACTTATGGTGATTTGTTACAGCACCAATAAGAAACTAACACATGCATATAAAGGCAAAGATATATAAATATTTTCCCTCAAAGCACAGTCATTTTTATCAGTGGCTGATTGTGATCTTAAGTCTGCCTCATCACTTCCTCTCAGTCCTTAAAGATACTGACAGATTCAGGAAGAGAATACTGTAGATAGAATTCAAGCTCCACCTATCTAATATATGGATGACTAAGCAAGCAGAAAACAATGAAGGTTCTGTGAGAAATTTATTTTGATTTTTTTAATTGATTTTTCTAGAGTAAGAGGAAGGGAGAGGAAGAGAGGAGAAAAATATCAATGTGAGAGCGAAACATCGATAGGCTGCCTCTTGCATGCCCCCTACTGAGGATAGAGCCAGCAACCTTTTGGCTCAATCCTCACCAACTGACAATATCCAACTGAGTCCTACTGGCCAGGGAGAGAAATTTAGTTTTTAACTATTATTGTCCCAATCTTAAAGGCAGCAAGGGATGATAGAAGGAACTGTCCCAGAGGTCATGAGACCTGGACCCTGCCTAGCTCTGTGACCTTGAACATGTCATTTAGTCTCTTAGAGCCTCAGTCTCTTTAAATGTGACACAGTGGTAGGATGGGGAGTGGAGGGAGGGGAGGATAGTAAGCTAGATATGTGCTAGGTTTTCATGTTTTTAATCTTTGAGTATGTTAATCAATGACACATGTTTGGCCCAAATCTAGTATTTGCTATGGCCCTCCCACTCCCAACAAAAAATGATTGCTAAATAGTATAAAAAAACAGAAAATGCTTATTGTGCTTAGCAGAAAATGGCACAAGGCACAATTTCAGCTGCCCATTACACTCAATGTGTTGATTATAAACCATTCTCTGTATCAGCCTACTGATACACAAAACATATTTGGAATACCCAAAAAACTGGTAACACTAGTTGCATCTGACAGGGAGAATCTCAGTCACTGAGGGACAGGAGTCAAAGGAAGATTTCTTAAAATTACTTTTCCTACCTTTTAAATTTAAACCTTGCAAATGTATATCTATTTAAAAACTTTAAGTATTTTAAAAGAGTAGGCTCTTTTGGTTCATGGCTTCACAGTGTCAAAGAACAACTAACTATAGGTCCTCTATCAGACGCTTTGAATTAGAGTCATTAAGCACTCAGCCAAAGCTTAAAGAATGTCAATCTTTACTAACCACACAATACATAAGTAGACCTGATACGTAATCCTTTCTGATTTCCAAGTGTAGGCAGTCAGTGACCTGTTGCACCCACAAAGAAGCAGGATGCATGATAAGAGAGCCGACCTCACCAGGACATCCAATGTCACATATCAACTTCCATGGTTCCAGAGCCCTTCACTGTCAGAATTACACCCAAGCCCAAATAAGTCTGGTGCAGAGAAGGTCAGAAGAATATTTCCTCACTGCCCCTCATTCAAGGATACTTCAAGGGCATCTTTATTTATATGATTTCCTTTATTAGCCATTCTACCAGTTATCTGCCAAATTTAATAGATACATATACACAAGTCACCTCTCTTCTTTGTTTAGTAAATAGTATTTTCCAGGTAGAGAGAAAGAGGCAGTGTTTTGAATACAAAGTGGTAGTAGTAAGTGGACAGCCTGAAACAGCTATCAGGACAAGCACAGTTGTGTGATGGCCGCTGTAGGACAGGGACCTAACAATGGAGCTCCAACCACATGAGCACTATACAGAATCATGGGCCAAATTATCTTACAATACTTTATTCCCGTCTTTCTAAAAATAAAATAAGCATCCAAGGGATGTGGGAAGACCCCTGCAAAGGGGCACTCACACAGTCATAATAAGGCTGAGCCCTCCGTCTACACACCCAGATTCAGAAGTCCGAGAAAAGGCATGCAAATTTGGAACCAAAAAATTTAGGGAAGAGTAGTAGGTCTTTACTATCACATACTGTATGTAGTTCCTTGGCTGTAATAAAATTTAAAAAACAACAACAACAGTACATGCATAAAAAGAAGTCAGAAGTTCCTAAAAACAGTCCATTCCACAACTGAAATGAAACGATAAAATGGGCCAGCAAGGGGCAGGTGCCAGCAGAAGCAAGTCCATCGCAAAGGGTTCTTTGCAAGTGGTTTAGCATGGAACACGTGGTGGTAATGCTGGCCCTGCTCCAATCACTATCCCTGCCCCCTGTAAAATGACAAGGGAAGTCCCAGATCAGACTTAGGCACTAAGATTGCAGCTGAAGGTGGAGAAGGAAAAGCACAGGACTGGGAGTCAGGAAGTATGAGTTCTGGTCCCACCTCTGCAAATGAGCAAGTCCCATTATCTCTTTGAGCCAGTTTTCTCATCTGTAAAATGGGAATGATTTTATCTATGCCCTCTAGAGTATATAAGGTTCTCCATCCTATAATTCCATATAATCTCTCAATAAAGTCATAAATAGCACCAAAATATGAGTTTGCCTTCTGGGTTATCCTTCAAAGATAGAATATCAGAGAGATTAAGATTGTGTACGAACTCAAATAAACGGCAGTAGCTGAGGAGCCTTTCAACCCTCAACAGCCCTGAAAGGCCTTTTGATACCCCAAAAGATATGACCTGAATATAAGCAGCAGTCCTTCCCCACAATGCCCACTGCAGGATAGCCACGAGTGGTTGGAAAACCAACCAGTTATCCTCACAAAGTCTCCATCCATCCTCACCCATGTCCTGCCCATCAACCCTCTCGGGTATACCATTTACTGGCCCTCGATTTCCTTACACCAGCCAGGGAATAGGAGACCCCGGTACCTGACTTTCAGTCCAGTTCTGTTGGGGTTTAAATTCCAATGTTTGGTCTCCCTGCCCGTCTGGAAATCCGCTTACCTCCAGAAGCAGTTCTATCGTAAACTCACGAGTGTGCCTCCACCTCCTTGCACACCGCCTTCATGGTGCCTTCTTTTCAGGACCATTAGCAGATAGTAGCAGCCCAGCTACAGACCCCAGCTCTGCTAACCACTAACCAATGGTCCTCAGGGGAATCATATAACCTCTCTGGGCCTGCCTCTTCATCTATAAACCAAGAGGATTCGACTAGACAGTGTGAGCTCTTTTTCAGATATAGCAGTCTACGTCTATGATTCCCAGGGAGGTAGAACCAAAAACACAGCACTTAAACTTGGCCATGTGAGGCAGCACGCATGCTGGTCGAGCCCACCTTTGCAGAGTTCCCAAGGACTGGGCTTGGTGGGCAGGCTGCCCAGATTACAAGGAACACTCTAGCAACACAACAGGCTGCACATACCTTTCCTTCATCCACCAGCTTTGCAATGTCATCCAGATATAGACCACTGGCCATGAAAAAGGCCCAGCGGTAATGGACTCCTTGCCAGAAATGCTAAAATGAAAAGGAAAAAAAGACATGTCAAATACAGAAAAGGATAAATTCTGACTAAATGCAAATTTAGAGAAAAGTATTTTCTGGAGGACTAAGACAGACAAACTGACTTCCCATTTCATGCTGCCACAATGAGCTGTATGCCCAGCACCTTGGCACAGTGAATGACAGTGAATGCTCTGTGAATGTTTAGTAAATAAATGAATGAACAAAAACAATCCCTGTGAACTCAGGCTTCTTCACCAATGTGTGATTGACAAGTAAGCACAGGAAAGCTCTCCTTAAAATGACAGTCTAGATCAGTGGTTCTCAACCTTCTGGCCCTTTAAATACAGTTCTTCATGTTGTGACCCAACCATAAAATTATTTTCGTTGCTACTTCATAACTGTAATGTTGCTACTGTTATGAATCGTAATGTAAATATTTGATATGCAGGATGGTCTTAGGCGACCCCTGTGAAAGGGTCGTTCGACTGCCAAAGGGTCGCGACCCACAGGTTGAGAACCACTGGTCTAGATGGTCTTATACACTCAATTTCTTCCCTACGAGAAATTATGGCTGATACCTCTAGGCCTTCTCTACTAAGGTTTGAGTTAAGGCCGAGAGGCACCAGAAAAGAGCTTTTTACCTAATTCAAGAATTCTTTGAGGGCAATAAGGCATCAAAATATAATTTTAGATAAGAAACCCACAGGTTTTTTTTTTCTGGCTCTGAGAGTAATAAGATAGTTTTAAAGGCAAAACAAAGTTAAGGGTTTTTAATGTATCATGGCTGGGTCTTCCCCTATAGTTACAGCAAGTCCAAAGCCACCTAATTTATAATGGGACAAAACATCTCCTGGTGAAGATAAGCAAAAATCTTACACCAAGAGGGTTCATGAACACTCATTGCCATACCTACTTTGAATTGTTATTATTTATTATCATTAGGCCATGATGAAAACAACAAGTGAGCTGAGGATCTCCATGATAACCCACTGACCTGCCCAACTACACTTGGTCAGATGTGAGCTATCCTGAGGCAGCCAGGACCATGTGCCTCCTCCCCGCATGTGCCCACAACTGCTGGGATGGCTGACTTCTCTTCCCTGAGCCCGCCCTCAACGTTGCCTCAGCGTGAGTCAGCTGCTACCAAGGCATGGAGCTGGCAAGTATAATGGAACTCCCCTGCTACTCGAGCTCAGGCACTTAATAGCTGTGTTATTTAGGTCAAGCTACTTCGTTCAGACTGTTCCCTGGCCTGCAGAATGGTGATGCCACCACCTAGCGGACAGGGTTGTTGGAAGGATTAAAGGAGAATGTATGTAAAATGCCTGATACATAAAAAGTATACAGTAAATGTTCCCCTAGTGCTAAAGTAAAGCTTGCTGAGGAAAGACTGGGGCAATGTCAAATGAGAGTTAAGACTAGAAAGAAAGACAAAACCAAGCTGTTGTCTAGGCAGAGCTTCACAGCAGGTGTGTCAGGAATGGCTTACGGGTTTGGTCAAGTGACCCTACAGTTTACTGTCTAACCTGGAACAACTGTGAGAATTAAAGGAGTCACCATTAATAATTATCCCAAGACCACAAACGCAAACAGACCCAAGTTTACCCTAGAATAGGTGGAACGGGACATGGATGCCCGTCAGCCCTTGGGATAGCAGGGCAGAGCCTGGGCTGCAGAGTCTCCAGGTAGTTTGCTCCCGGAGGAGCCTCAATGTGCTCTTCAAATACTTTCATATTCTATGTGTGTCAGGGCATGAAAGAGGTCGGGAAACACTGGTCTAAGTAACTAACTTAAAAAAAAAAAGGCAAAAAAATACAGTTTGAAGCACTGAGATTATCCCAAGCTTACAGGGGGCCCAGTTAATTACACTCACAGACCAGCTCATGTACTTCCTGCTAAGGTCTAGCTTTACAGACTACAATTAAAACATTCTGGTAATTGTTTAGAGTTTTAAAGAAGGAATAGCAATAGTCACCACCGTCATGTCTATAACTCTTTACAGTGGGTTGCCCTGTAAAGTGAAACTTCTGTTCTGCAACAGCAGAATTTTTACTTTTTTTTCCAGGCCATTATAGGAGAAAGTAAACTAAAGCAGGCCGGAGAGCCCAGAGCATTACAATGAGGCTTTAACTGCACATTCTAGAAAGACATCAGAAACTACTTAAAAGGTTTTCACATGAGATTACCACTATCATCTTTCAAGCAGGGAGAAAGGGAAAATGAAGAGAGCTATGCCTATTTTACTCTCAGAGGCCAGCTCTGAAGGTTAAATTGTAAGGGGTCTCACTGGAATACAAACTGTAAAACCGTTTAGAAAACTTAAACTTATATTTTAAAGCTCTTGGAAAGCCTGGGTTTTGTGAAAAAGGAAAGAAGAGACAAATCATAGTACGTTTCCTTTCTCTCACAGAGCACCCTGTGCACACTTTCTGGCTGCATTTGGATCCAGTGAAAATGTGCTGTGTGTTCACTGTATTGGGTGTTCACCTCTATCACCCACACACGGTTCCTAAGAATTGAGTTCTGGTCTCTTTTATCACAGCTCTTCGCTACTACTTCTAAGTGTGTAGTTAGTACACAGAATCCGAGAGACCAAAGTCCTAAAGTTCACTCCCAGAAAGGTCCTAAATTAATTTCTAGAATAAAAAAAAGTTAAGATAATTATCAAGCCAGTCATCTCACAAATATGGGTCAGTGACGGAGGGCTCGACACAGTGACCCACAACCTTTTACTATAAAGGAACCTTCTACTGCCTTTTTCCTGGGCCTAAAGTATTTTGTCTAATTAATGAAATATAGAATTTATCTTCCTTTTTTGTATCACTAATTCAGATTTTAAACCAATGACCTATAATTACCTACAGTGTATAAGGTGGAATTATGTAAGGTTCTGTCATCATTGTGAGAACAAGGCTATCACGTAAAGTAAGAACAAACACTCAAGCCACCAGTCCTGTAACCAAGGCTGCGCATCTCCAGGCCCACCACACACTGGATGTGTTTAGGTGGGGGACAGAGCTCCTTACAGCCCTGGTAACAGTGGCCCTGTTAACAGTCAGGCTGACTAATCAAGCGTCAGAAACTCCCAGAATGCCATCAATAGCTAGAGTTTCCGATCCACATGGGATATGCAGTGTTGGGACAATCAATACAAATCCAGGAAAGGCCTGATGGTTCTATGAGTCTTTGTAGTCTCACTGAAGTAAGACTACAATTTCCTTCAGGTTTTTGAAATTCAAAAATTGCCCACGGACTTCTAAAGGTCTGAAAGCCCCAACTGGGAATCACTGGCATATCCCAATCCTACGAACATAAAATGTTAGCCACTAACATTTTCACCTTCCCATACAAGAGACCTTATGTGTTAAGACTGGTGAAGATAGCATCAGATATAGGCAAGAAAAAAGCAGAAGGTATATCAGATGGTAACAATAAAGGCTAACATTTAACAGGACCTTTCATTGTGCCAAGTCCTTCACATGAATGATCTCATTTAACCCTTACAACATGAGGTAAGGCATATATCCTACTAGCCCCGTGTTACAGGTGAAGACATCAAGGTCTAGTGACAATGATTTGCGAGGGGTCACACAGCTACTAAGGAGGCTAAAATTTGAACACAGTCAGGGTGCGATTCCAGAGCCCATGCTTGTCCCCAAGATGAAAGAAACTGGCTGGGTGGAAATCAATTTCCAGGAGCAAGAGGCACTTGCTTGTTCTCGTCAACCAGGACTTGAATCCTTACCTTTAGTGTCTTAGAGCCCATGGTGACGCCCGTCTGCAACATGCCGTCTGCTACGCCCAACCGGTCCATGTTCAGGAGAAAAGGAGTCACCAAAGTCACGTATGTGGCTCCTGACCATTTCTTGAGTAAATTTAGAGCCCACGTTTCAGTGGACCCACCAACATTATCAAGGATAAAATCAAACCTGGAGAGGAAGAAGCAATCAGAAGATCCTTGTCAGTCTTTACCCAGGGCTCCAACCCCCCTTCAATCCCATCACCAGTAGCCATAGGGTTTCTCTCAGTGACAGTCACAAACTCAGCTGTGCTGTGCCATCCAGCCGAGGGGTGGCTGCTTTGACAAAGGAGTAAAGGGAATAGCCACTTACCAAGTCTCTGGCTTTTCTACTAGATAAGTCAAACGTGACTGATTTTTTGTGTCATAAAATCAAATTTTCTAATACTTTAAGAATGACTTAAACAAGTGGTTGTTAACAGAGGGTGATTTTAGCTCCCAGGGGACATATCAGGCAATGTCTAGAGACATTTTTAGTTGTCACAACCCTGTAAGGTGGTGAGAAGAGGCTAATGGCATCTAGAAGCCAAGGCTGATGATAAACACCGTACTGTGCACATAAGAGCCCCTCACAACAAAAAATTATCCAGTCCCAAAGGTCAACTGTTGAGAAACTAAGGTAGCCAAGGTTGAGAAACCCCGACTCTAGCCCTATAGAAAACTGCAAAGCTATCCATGCGATAAAAGTAAAAGTCTTCTTTAGTGCACAGAAGCACTGGAATGACAAATATGTAAGGTTTTCACCTACAAAAACAATTTGCTTTAATCCTTCTAAACTTAGAACTGCTTATAGAAGCATCCTCTTTCCCTGGAATGTTCTACCTTTTTTTGTTGTTGTTTCATGCATAGCATCGGGACAATGTATAAAGAGCAATCAACAGCCTGCTCTCAGTCTTCAATTCTGCTCTAACATGCCCAGAAAATCCAGGCATGATGGAATCCACAGGAACTAACAGATACTCAACTCTTTACGTCTAATCTAAAGCTGCTATAATCACTACATTCTCCTTAAAGGGGATAAAACTCAATGAAGCTTTTAAATATTTGTTAAAACAAAGATCTATTTAGAGACTGTATGCTTATACATTAAGCAAATTGATAAATTTCTTTTTGATAAATCCGTTTCTCTGCTAAATTCATATGGATGAAATCAAGCATCAGAGCTACGAAAACCAGCTTCGACCAACTTTGTGCATCTTTAATCTTTTATGGGACTAAACTAAAGAAGGGCAAATAAAAATGGAAGGCTATGTGTGCAAGAGAATGACCTTACTAGAAGATTATTCTTTTCATTAAAGAGAATAAAAATTGTGAATTTAAGTTTCTAAAGTTTCTGCTTTTAATTTTCTACTCCCTTCCCAAATTTTAAATAAACAAAAATGATACTTATTTTAAATAAAACTTGAGGGCAGCCTGGTATCATAGAACAGGCACCACCTGAAAAAGAAGTCCTGAGACCAGGTTGTAGATGCAGTTCTCCCATCCATGACTGAGTGGCATGACCTTGAGCATTCAAAACTTATATCCCCTCTACCCGATTTTCTCAACCGCAACATGATAGAGATGGACTGAAGAATTTTGAAGCCCTTTCTTGCTATAAGACTCTAAGATTGAAATCTAAAAAGCTGTGATTTAGAAGGAGGAACAAATTTATTCTAGGTAGATTCAGAGGCCAAACTTCAGGTATAAATTATAGAGATGAATTTTAACTAAAGCTGTCAAAAAAAAAAAATTGGTCTGCATTTGTAAGCTGATGAGATCCCCCTACTGAAAAGAAGTAAACAGGACAAGCGATGTGGAGGAGCAAACTGTAGCACAGCTGTGGGGGCTGGTCTGAGTGTGCTACAGCCTTCCATGTGTCAGGTTCCCTGTTCTCTGGTGACATACTCCAGACATGTGTAAAAGGTAAGGTAGATGGAGGGCAATGGGTTGGCCTTGGCCTCAGTCTCATACTGCTGTTCCTAGAGGCAGCAGAAGGTATGAGAGCAGCGGAAACTACCACTACCTAGAAGCCAGATCTCGAAGGCCCAGAGAGGCCTAGGTTCTGACACACAGGGTGGAAGGCAGTGGATAAGATCTCTGCAAGGGACAGTGTCATCCCTCACACATGCCAAGTGAGTTCCGCCACGGGGGCTTTCTACTTGCTGTTGCCTCCATCTGGAACAACTGCTCTGCTCCTAAGTTTCCCTCAATAACTCAGTAAACAAATATTTTGGTTGTTGGTTTACTTTGTGTGTTTTTTTGCTTATTGAGCACCCACTACATGCTACTATACTGCTCCAAGTGGAGGGATACAGCAGGGAACAGGTTTTTAAAAATCCCACTCTCCTGGCTTGCCCACAGATGCCTCTGCTCCAATGCTTCAGAGGCATTTTTAAAACACTGTATATCAGACAGACTCACCAATCATTTGTTTTTCCCTTTCCCTGCATCGGTGTTCTTGAGAGCACTTGCCAATGAAACCTCCCTGACTAGAATATAAGTGCCATGAAAGGGAAATTTGTCTTGCTCACCAATGTATCTCATCCTATGCTTAGAACACTGTCTGGCAAGAGTGGAGGCTCCATAAACAGTTGAAGGAATAAGGAGTCAGTTCCTGGGTGCACCGCCATACTGCTGTTGGGAGCTGGGGGTGCTGGCTGAGAAAGGCTAGGCCAGCCGTGGGCAAACTACGGCCCGCGGGCCAGATCTGGCCTGTTTGAAATGAATAAAACTAAAAAAAAAAAAGACCGTACCCTTTTATGTAATGATGTTTACTTTGAATTTATATTAGTTCACACAAACACTCTATCCATGCTTTTGTTCCGGCCCTCCGGTCCAGTTTAAGAACCCATTGTGGCCCTCAAGTCAAAAAGTTTGCCCACCCCTGGGCTAGGCAGTCAGACAGGGGCTCCCTTTTTTTCTCCTCTTTTTTTTTTTAAGCCATGAAAATATATTTCTACACAAAGTGGGCAAGAATAACTGGCTTCTGAAAAGTAATTGAAAAAGGAAACACCTTTGAAAAAGAAGTAGTAAGCTCTGGCCCATGTGGTTCAGTTGGCTGGACATCAGCCCATGCACTGTACACTGAAAGATTGCCAGTTTGATTCTCAGTAAAGAAAAAGAAGCAGTAAAGTAGCTTTCCAAACACTGCTAGGTTATGCTCTCAGCATATCTTGGCCAGATGAAGACCAGATTAATAAGCGCCCACAGTCAAGATGAACAGGGCCTTGGAGAATGCCTGAATCTGCTCCTGTTTATACATTAGGCCAAACCACAGCCTGGCATTCAGCGGCACCGAGAACATTCACAGTGCTCCCATCATCAATATTTATGCTGTCTTTGTTTCTGTGAAGCCCTTATTAAGCCAAAAATGTGTTTAGTGCTAAGCATAAATTTTCATGCACTGCTCTAAGTTCTTCCTGTGGTGACAGATGCCATCAAAAGGAACACACTTCCAATTCTGCCTTCAGACCTATTACAAGCCAGTAATGAAAGTTAACTGAAAAGACCATGTAAGCAAAATATCTTCCTCAATACCTATCTCATTGTGTCACTGTGCTATATTAACATCTGGAATTAACACAGAAACCAACCTAATGATTTCTAATTACATTGAATATTTTCATAGATACTTCTCTAAGATTCCAACATGATCACCAAACCACCTCAGGCTTTCATTATCAACTGTGAACATTGTTCTAATACATACGGTTTTAAAGATTTCAACTGTTCTTCCACATTTCCAGATTTATAATCAATTACATCATCTGCCCCAAGCTTCTTTACAAGTCCACTGGCATCCTGAGAGCAAACTGCTGTCACATGAGCATCCCATGCTTTCATTACCTGCCAAATAAAAGGGGAGGGGGGAGAGAGAGAAAGTAGAAAACCGCATTTTTTAAAATAGCTGGCACCACATGTACATGTATCAGCCCGATCTCTAGAGAACTCTAAGTGCTTCGTCTTAATGAACACTACAGGAAGCCATCTGTCAGAAACTAGTAAAAATGATTCAACTTTTGTTCACTCAGAAAATTCCAAGAAGTAGATCTCATTTTCCCTGGATGCGACAGCCAGTCGCCTGTTGTCATGAAGTTATAACCAATCCAATCAGAGAAGAGCTCAATGCTTCACCAGTATCAGAAAAGACAGGAGTTTATAGCCTCAAGTTTAGTACTTTTAAGGTTGACAAAAGTAAATGGCAAATCTATATATATATAAAACCCTAATATGCAAATAGACCTAACGGTGGAACAATTGAACAACCAATCACTATGATGTGCACTGACCACCAGGGGGCCCAAACGGAACATGGCGGGTGTCAGCAGCGGTGAGATGGTGGAGCAGGTGAG